TTGTATGACAAGAAAGGGGAGAACAAGAATAAAGCTTGAAACTGATAACTTTTATTTTAATGCACCTTCTTTCTTCGATTACCAGATACAACAGAAGTGCCTTAGAATACTTTTACAGGCTCTGGCTTCTCCAAAGCCGCGTAGACAGAGGACGGAAGCAATAAATTGTACAGAAAAGATGCCATAGAAAGAATCCAGATAATAGTTGTGTGAGGATGATGAAACCTTATGTCAAATAATTTCAGAAAATGAACAGGCTCTTGTATGACTAAGAATAACTTGTGAGCTCCCGTATGCTTTACGGCACAAACTGATGGCATGCCTGGCAACTCTCATCAGGCAAAATGCTCCTTGTAATTGGGTTTTTTAATAAAAATATCTGGCCTGGTCCACATGCATTTAGCCAGTACATTCCAGTTAATTAGAATCAGCAGAAATCTCTCTTTCCTGTCCATATGGAGTTTTCATTTTGTGAATTGGAAGAGGTGGAGATGGTAGAGAAAAGGAAGATGGGAAGGACGTATTTTCTTCCAAGGCTATAAACATTCATCACTGGTCAAATGAGAATGGAAAACACAGCACTCAACGTATTAAAGGCCATTACGAATTGCATTATCATTAGCTTAAAATGCTAATTTTTGAAATAGGTGGTGTTCAGCATGTTAATACTGATGTTGTCACATTAACTGAACACTGCAGGAAAAAGCGCTGGGTAAAATGATAAATTCTTACTCTTTTCATTAGAAAAATCTTTGTTCCCTGCTCATGTATTTCACCTAAAGAAATTCTGTCCATCTCTTCAGAGAGAACTAATTGATAAACTGCTCCTTGATTTCTTCTCTTGCCTTGTTTAGGAGGTGAAAGGCTGGATGAATTGTTCTGGTGAGCCATGTATGTTTGCCTGGCAGCTGGTTGGCCTGACAAATAATCTGCCATGAAACAGTTCTGATCTGAATTTCCAGACCTTAATTGCTCCATGGTAAAGTGCCCAGACTGCTCTTACCCTGCAGCAAAGTAGTTTTACCCCTCTTTCATTTAATCAAATGTTATTCATTCAAACTGAATGAAAGAGCAGTATCTATTTGCTGCAGGATATATATGCACATGGACAATTATGGCTTAGCTGTCCAGTCTGTGCAAGTTCATCTTTTAGCTTACCTCCTGATAGTTTACAGGACTATATCCTAGAGATGGCCTGTGGAATTCAGAATGAATGGGTAAGTCAAAGCATTCATTAACCTTGTGCAAGCATAGAACAATATTCCCCCTTCTTTCTGGGTGTCAAAAGCCTTTCTTTGAGTTACACCCTTGATACAGCATCCCATTAGTTATTTGCCCTTCTCCAGGTTTCAAGAAGAGACACAAAACGGCGTTTGCTGTTTTTCTTTAAGCAAAGACAATCTCAAACTGTCCCCGGATGACTCCCTTGAATGAGGATATGACTCAGGTTTCATTTGTTTCCTGTCCTGGCATGCTCTCTTCTGACACATCTGCAAGTTTAGTGATGCCTGGAGGAAACAAACAGGTCAGAGCTGGGATTTCTCAAATCCATTTTATTTGGTGATAAAAGGCTTGTGAAGTATGGCCTCTGTAAGGACTGCAGCATTTGTTAAATCTACACAATGTATGGCATTGTGGGTAGGGGTCTGCAAAGATATACAGCTATTAATCGCTAGCCAAATTTCTGCTACAGCAAAACTAAAAGCAAGGTCTTGCCTGAGACTAGTGTGAATAAGCTTAGGGAAAACAGCTCCCTGTAACCTTCTAAGTCTTTACATCACGGCACTGACCTTTTCAATCATACTTGCTTTTCTTATATGCAAATATTAATGTAATCAGTTACTGGGAAAGCTAAAACTCAAGATTTTTATCGTACCTCCATGATTCAGACTGCCGTTATTTTTCTCACCTGCTGCACGCTACTTTGCTTACT